GAAGTATCAGGATGTATTATGAAACACAAAACTATGTCCTCTGATTCAGTCAAATGCTACAAAACTGACAGAGCTTTACATGGATAGCGACCCAAAGCAAAATGGAAACCGAACCAAAGACTTTCTTAAGGCAAAGAAATGGGATATTTTTCTAGACTAGACTACAAAAACCTTTCCTTACATTTAAAATTGTATTAGTTTGTCCAGTCACTTTTGAGCTTGTGATAATGGGTGACTGTATAAAATGTAACTCATAAACAGTTACAGAACTTCTGTTGAGCCCTTTGAGTCTAAAAGTGTGCACTTCTGTCCCGTCTTGACAGTGTGATTTCAAATTCACCATTGTGGTCCGCACAGGCAGAACTATGAAAAACATACCATTGACCCAACTGTATGCACTACTGTCCAAAAGTTGTGGATACTTTGCACAGCTGGACTGGCCATCGGGCATTAGCCCGGTAGGCTGATGTTGTTTGTTGTTTTTTTTTCTAACGTTATCAACAATGAAAGTTGGTGGATTGAGTGGTCATGATCGACTCTGGGCTGGACCAATTACAATACATACATATTGAGGTGAAAAGGAACGTGATTTGTCCCGTACGTCACATCTGCCTCGGGTACAGACAAAGGCGGCGGTGTATGCATTTACATCAACAACACTGGACCACAGCGCTAGGACTACTGCATGACATCATCAGCAAACACGAGACTGCTCACCCAGTTGCTGCGTTTGTTGCTGCCAGGGATTTTAATCACTGCACCCTCAGGACTGTGGTCCCAAAGTTCCATCAATACTTGAGCTTTCCGACAAGGAATAACAAGATCATAGACCAGGTCTACAGCAATGTAAGAGGCACATACAAGGCAGTGCCTCGCCCGCATTTTGGACAGTCCGACCACATTTCTGTGTTCCTCTATCTGGCATACAGGCAGCTCCTCAAACGAGCCCCCCAAGTAAGTAAAATTACTAAAGCTTGGAGTGAAAAGACTGATTCGGTGCTTCAGAACTGCTTTGGTGCTACAAACTGCGGTGTATTTAAGACTGCTGCCATGAGAGAGGACTGTTCTGTGGATTTAAAGGAATATGCACCAGTGGTCACCAGCTACCTCACCACATGCATTGACAATATTGTCCCCACCAA